TCCGCAATCAATTTCGTCATCAAAAATCTTTCACGACTCCTTTTTCGAGCTCTTTTCTTCGCTTTTCAAAAACTGCATAATACAGTCATTGCATGCTATTCCGGTGGCAGGCCAAAAGAACCGTAAAATAAACGCATACTCTAGCACTGAAAAGAGCCGAAATGATAGGAACTGAGCAGAATAAAACATGGAAAAAACGCACAAAGTTTAGCGACGGGAGCAAAATCTGGTTGATACGGGCATATTGTTTAGTCGAAGAAGAGAATCTTTTTTGCGCTAGAACAAAATTTTGGCAAAAAATCGCATGAAAAAGAAGCCGAAATTTTGCCAGTGAAGTATGAAGCTGACCAAAAAAATGTTGAAATCCGCTAGAACATGCAAGAAATGAAGAGTTCGGCAACACTGAAGTCATAGTTGTACTTCAAAATGAATAGGTACACTGAAGAAGAAATACTTGGCACAGAAGTGCATTATTGCATTAGAGCGTTACTTTGGTGAGCAACAAAATTACATTTATGCTCATTTTATTGAAATTTCGACTAACCAGTGCCGGAGCTGAGAGATTCAAAAGCGAGAACTTGTAACAGACATGAAAGCACTGTGCAGAATTGCTAGCTCAGGAAGGCCAGCATAATTAATTGGACTCTTTGGCAGGTGACTTTCGAGCAACTATACAAATACGGTAAAAACGAGTACACTACGGGTAACTGGAATGATTGTATCGCATTTTTTCTTCGAGCAATTGAAGATTTCGATTACTTTGTGGATGAAAACGTGTGGTGCCGTGAGAAGTGCGCACGCGAACACCAGAAGAGCCGGCAAACAGGTCTCTCGTTTTCATTACACATTTTTATGCATTTTTGCATATATACAAATACACATATTTTAACGACCCAGGGTATGCGTCTATGTGTATGCTTGTGTGTGCATGTATGTGTGTGTGCCCGGTGTTTCAACTTGGCAACCAAGCAAGCTCCGGCACTAAAATTTTGCCAGTGTGTTCCCAGGCTAAGTGCTACCACAAAAACGCGGTGCCAATCTTCAGGCGCGTCTGAGATTCGCGCACGTTCACGTGAAAGTTTCGACATAAAAATCGCTAGCTCGGGAACCAGAAAAGCTAGAAAGCTGAAATTTTAACGGAATGTTCCCTGTCCAAGTATTACGCAGTTACAAAATTAACTTCCTAAGCTTCGAGGACCAACATGTCACAAATTCCAATTACTGGGCTTCCAAACGATCTTACCATAGCACGAAATATTGCGAAAACGCATGATCGCACGGGTCCTCCTGGTGTGCGCCGCTAATGATTTCAGTAGTGCTTGCACAGTTTGTTATTTCCTAAACGTTAAATGAACAACAGACAAATACCACGGACTGGACAGGGTGGCTCAATTTGACATCAGTCAGCTAAAAACCGCAGTGATACTCAGTCACAAGTCCAGGATCAGGCACTCCGTCGCCAAACAAAAGTACTGGTATTCGTGAGAACGCAAACATGAATGAAGTGCATCGGAACTTCTGCACTTCCACACTGCATTATTGCCCGGTGTTCTGCACTTCCGCGTTGTTCCAGTTTTATAATGCAGTTCGTTATGGATGCAGTGAGGAATAACTCCTGTTTCTAAAAATTTTCAGAACTGAAGAATGCTGCCGAAGATATTGCGGAAATTGCAATGATGTATGCAAATGCACAGCATGCATTATGCTTATTTCGGTGCAAAAACGAGAGACTGACATCGATGCGACCACCACTCAATGATCCCAGTGTTTTTGAGGAATTTCAGAACCGCAAACCATATCAATACCTACAGATTTGTTACTGGAAGGTTCTTTTTACAAGTTTTAAAACTTACCCGTTAAAAGTATGTCAGTCCGGAACAACGCTACAAAATACAGGCGTTGTGTTTAGCACATGGTTCAGTGCTTTTGCCGTTTATTTAGAGGTGTTAAATGTGAGGCAAATTTTCCACTCGGGGTGTTGAATTTATAGCAAATTTTTATTTGTAATGTTAAATGCATAGCAAAAATCCTACTTGGGATATTGAAATACAGTAAATTTTTATTTGGTTGTTAAATGTGCAGTGTTATTCGAGAAGTTAAACGCAGGGTATGTTTTAACCCGAGATGTTAAATGTAGAGCAAATTTTTATACGGGGCTTTAAATGTACAGCAAATTTTTATCCAGGATTTTAAATGTGCAAGAAATTTTTTGCTACAGGTGATAAATGTGCAGTAAATTCCGAGGCGTAAAGCAAATTTTCATTCCAGTCTTAAATGTAGAGTAAATTTTCCGTTCGGGATCCTAAATGTACAGTAAATTTTTATTCGAGATGTTAAAAGCATGACAAATTTTTTATTTGGAGCGCTAAATGTGCATCAAATTTTTTATTCCAGATGTTAAATGTAAAGCAGACTTTTACTTGAGTTGTAAAACGTTGCAGTAAATTTTTTATCCGGGGTCTTAGGTGCATGGCACACTTTCTGTCCGGAAATATGCAATGCATAGTAACTTTTTATTCAGGATGTTAAACATGTAGTAAATTTTTATTCGGGTTGTTAAATGCGTGGTGGATTTCCTATTCGTTAAACGTTCACACCACTGAAAGCTTAAGCTAAACTCCTACAGGTTTCAGACTTATTAGTCGCTCAATCTGTGACTTCTGATTTGAATAGAGAGAACTTTTTAATTTGACTAGAGAATTTTTTTTTGGTCCTCGAATGAATCAGATAACTTGAAACAATTTCTTTAGATACCAGTATTCAAATTTTTACTACAAAGATAAATCGCTTTGTTGATTTGGCTTTTTTTTTTAGCAAAAAGACCTGTCTTCGGCAGTGAGAAGTGCTTACACATATTTGGTAGCACATCCAAAAGATCAAGAAACGTTGGATAATCTGGCATTTTATATGGAACAGGACGGTTACAATGAAAATATGCTTACTGATGCTCGACAAATGAAATATGAGGTAAATTCGGTGTTAATTAGGATTTCTGCAGATGACTGCTAGAATTACTGAAAGGTCCGGGACTGGCAGTGTAGTCGTTCTTTAGCAGTGTTGTTATTGGGGGCGCCAGGTTCTCTCAATTCATATCTTCAGTTATTGCGCACCACCTGTTCAATTTATGTATGAGCTTCTTCAATGGTTGCCCGATTGCTCGTTTACGTTTTTATGCGTTTTTTGCATCTACGCAATGCAGAAAACGCATATTGTCGAAAGGTTGTCTGTGTGTGCTATTGTGTGCGCTGCGCGTCTCTACCGATTTTTCATCTCGAAACCTACAAAAGCTACAGGACTGAAACTTTAGGAAATTAATCTGCATGCGTGTACAGGTCCCCATCTCCAAAATGGGCGCTCTTACCCACGTGATACCCACGTACGGGTCCGCCAAAGTTTTTTTCGGATAAGTTGCTAACTTGGGATCCTGAAAAGCTAAAAGACTGGAATTTTAAGGAGATGTTCCAGGTCCATGTAGGTCTTAATCAGTTCACACTCAGTCCCCAAGTATGCGTGGTTCCTACGTACAGGCCCGTGAAAATTTTTTGCGTGTAAGTTGTTAACTCGGAAACTAGGAAAGCTAGAAAGCTGAAATTTTAAAGAGATGTTTTCAGGCAGCGCTA